AATTTCTGTGTGTAAATAGCAGAATCAGAGTGAGTATTATTATTTACGAATGACAATTTTATGCATGGTAAATTTTTTGAGTTAGTAAGAACATTATTGTACCGAAACTGGATCTAAAATAAAAATACGCATTTTTTATATTATAATTACAGATAACTTGTTTCACTTTATTTGTTATCTCCTATACAATTTATGTCAAATAAGAAACGCAAATAAGATTCTGTTAAGTTGTATTCATAATCCTAGTGTTTAACAATCATAGAACTGTATATGAAATAGTCGTTAATAGTCGCGAATTGTAATCGTTATTTTAAAGGATTATATTGTTAAGGAATTCTTTAACGAGGTATTTTGAATCATTTTTCACTGTGTAACTTATTTATTTGAATAATCTGCAAGATAATGGAAAAAGAAATATATTAAATGAACATATTGAAAAATGTCCAAAAAGAATTGTTTGCATCATATCATATTGTTAAAAATCATCTTGGCTTTTGAAATAGATTGTTGTAACAGTTTGTAGAGCGATATATATTGTATGTATATATAACATATGTATACAATTTAGGATGTCAAAAACACACCACGAATGTGATACAATAATTCATAATAGGTATCTCTTATTTTGTATATTTCTTTGAGGAACTGTCAAGGAGCGATTCTACTACTTACAAGATTAAAACGAAATGACAGAACATATTCATAACATAGTACATTTTATCTAAACATCAGGAATTGCGATCGAATTTATGTTCTAATGTTAATTATTTTTTGACCCAAAGAATTTTGATATGGATCTGCACACTTCACGATTCTTCCTACATAATATATACGTATACTAGGAAAATTACTTTAACATATTTATATATATGCGTGTGCACATACTATAGTAAAATTCTTTAGTTCAAATCAATGGTCACTAAATGCCCTCCTATACTTCTTTTTCTAAATATAAAATAAAACTATATAACCCAAATTAATCAACATCGTTTCTCTCTCTTATTTAATATTTTTTATATATCCTATATATAATGTATCATAATTATATGATTTTTATACATATGTATAATCATATAATTATACGCGCGAGCGTGCATAATCATATAATTGTTATGGCTAAACAGAAGAGGTTAGTATTAAGAATAATGTACTCGTAATAATATTCATATATTCTATACGGTGTTTCTCAACAAGCTCCAAGTAACTTTTAAATATCGCAAGTGATATCCATTAAGTGATATCCAATGTCACCTTTATTCATTGAAGATAAGAAATCGAAATAGTAACTATTTTGGAAATCGATGCTCTTTCTCTTTGCATTTCTGCTGCATAAAAAAATTTGTGTTACATATGTTACACATAACTTTTATTATTATTGCAAGTATTATTGATGTCGCTTTTTTGTTTATATATTCTTCAAATTAAAACACTGCTTGATAATTTAAAAAACATATCATCTAAAAGAAATTGCGATTTAGATATTTTAAGATTTAAATATATCTTTTTGATGAAATAAAGAAGAAACATTTTAAATTATATTATTTCATTAAGCATATTTCAGTGTACTTTTACGAATAAAGATGGCTTTATTACACTTTCCACGATGATATATTTTAATGTCTTTTGAATTGTTCTATAATTTATTGTTTGAGAAACACCGATGCGTTTTTCGTATTAACTAATTGTTACGTCATGTCATGAGAATGTAATGACATCCCCATAGAGCACCTGAAGCATACAGTGAACATTCTCCCATGTATTATTTTATTTAATTACAGTCAGTCATTGGATTTATTTCATAACAAACTCCCTCTGAATTTCTGAACTTTATTAGATAATTGCTTAATCCTCGATAGATATCCAGAAAAATTCAGTACAATGTATAATTTCCAATGGACTAAGATTATAATGTAAGGCCTCAGAATATTTGACATATTGTAACATTCCATGACTCATAGGAATATTACATTAAAAATATATCATCGGAAATTTTTTGACATTCCTATTGATATATAAAAAAATATTAATATTATATAAAGAAAAATAGATTTTAATACGCTTTATAAGTCTGCGTAAACAATATTAGTAATATTTTTTATGTACGATAATATAATATGATAAAATAATATTTCGTTAAACAACATAAACTTGAAAAAATACAAAAAAAAATTTCTATCAGACATGAGATGTTACATATCTATTGTGTTGAATATTTTAATGCAGTACTCTTCAGATGTTTATGCAAACATATTACAATGGAGAGTATATAAAGTGCTACAAAACAATTCCAATATGCTTTATAATTGTTTAATACATCTACATTACATGTTCATTATGTATTTGTAAGGCCATATACGAAATTTAATACAAAGATATTGCCTTTATAGACAATATTCGATATATTGATTAATTTGGAAATTTGTCTATTCATAGACAAATGGACGACACAGCCTCAACAGAGAATGTTCACAGTGTAAGACAGCAGCATAGATATATCTCAGCGCAGTCCCGCTTTACCATTAATTATATCATCTTTGTTTTGGAATCATGTAAACAGAATCTTGTCAATCGATCATGTTCAAAAGATCCTTTGTAAGTATCATTAAGTATGGGAATTTACTTAAAAATAAAATAATTTCACCAATGTGAATTAATTTTTAAATTATTTAATTATTGATACACAAATCTCGATTAACTTTATACATATCTGCATCATAAAGAAGTTTTCTTGGAATCACTCATACATAATAGTGTTATGTATTTAAAATCAACATTATTTTCATGTCAAATGAGAAATATACCTACAAAGGAATTTTGGAAATATTAAAAATACAAGTCTACATAAAAACTACATTGTATGAATTTTTGTCTTTTAACAACATATGTAGAACTTAATGTTTATATGTAAATATTATATAACAATAGATAAACAACAATGTTTAATAAAATGTTTTGTACCTAGGTCTCTAATATGGCATAAGATAGGTCATGTGCCGAGTTATTCTTGGCTACTGTCAAATCTAAGCCAACATTATACACAACTAGCCTGTTCTTAAATAAGATGTGCATGATTTCAATGATTTTATTAATCATCATTACATGCCATCTAACTACTTTCCACGTTAGGGACTTCTAAAAAGAATTATAACCTCTGCTATTTCAAAATAATTTCAAAATTATATAAATTGTTTTGAGAATTGCAAGAATAGAACAATTATTCTAATATATTATATATTATCATGAAAGATATTCGAAATAATTTTCTTATTTAAAAAGATTAAATTAAATGTTTTTTTATTATTTGCAAAATTAGAAAGAAAAAAATCTTAAAAAAATTTGACATTTTGATTGAGATTTTATTTTAATAACATCTACGTTGATATATAAGTGAATACACATTTTCATTCAAATGTAATCGAATTAAATCGAATATTTATTTTAATCACAAATGAGCACATTATATAAAAATTGGTATACAATTCAAAAAACTTAGAAACTTTTCACAGACAAAAATTATATCAAAGATAATAGAAAGGAACTCTTTAGAAGCCCCCTAATAATTTATTTCCATTCAACATATCCCCCTTTCAAATTTATTTCACTCACTCTCTATGATAAAACACACATTATAATATAATTCTATCAAAATGGCATTCAGTATTCTCTTATAGGGGATTATCTCACATTCGATATATAAAAAAAATATATATAATTTCGACTACTCAATGGAAACGTTCAGTAATCGTCAGTTTGTACTATCCGAATGCCATTTTTGTGTATATTACACTTTTCCTGAACTAGTTCTACAAAGATTGTGTAGGGCTGCCCACGAAATTCTAATTGAAATATAATTAATATCTATCTATCTATATATGTATATGCGAATATGTATATGTATAGTGGGACTTTATTGATATAGTCAGTTCACAATGCTCGCAATATCACGACATTCTACAAGTCTTCTTAGTCTATCATAGACACCAAGAGATGATAATTTGATTACACACAAAATAAAATTTTGAAAAAATGTATATAAACTTATCGAAAATTTGAAAATATGAATATAAAATATGAATATAAAAATAATTAATAATCTTCAACAGAATGTCTACATAGAATGAAACATCTATATCTTGTATCTTAAAAAGACAAAAAAGAATTGCTCAAAAAATTACATTTGAAGCGTCAAGTATAATGAAATTATGAAATAATGTAATAGAAATTAAATTTTGTACTAATTAATCGATATCCTGAGAATCATTCTCAAACTTGTTTTTTTACTCAAGTTTTTTCATACGTTCAAATGAAGATATCTAGATATTAATGCAATAAAAAAATCGAAGATATTCTGCTCTGGTCTATATATAAAAGTCCAGTTAGAAAACTATCAGCCTGTGCATATAGTTCAAATTAAATTAAATAGTTCTATACATCAAGACTTTTTTACAAGCGTGCTACGAGTTGCGACTGACTTATACTTACCTGAGCGGGTGACAATCTCCCACTAGTATTTATCTTCAATTGCACAAAATATTAAGTGCTTATTTAATTTTCCTTCGAGGTACTTTTCGATTTCGGCAAATATGTATGTTATCTTGAATACGTCATGTCGATATATATGCATCACCTCCATTATTTTTTTTTTTTTTTTTTTTTTTTTTTTTTTTTTTTGAAGGTCTTAGTAATGCAACGCCATCATGATTTACTGGCTTCATGCCAATTCCAAGATATTATTTTCACATTATAACTTGTATAATTTAAATAATTTATAATTTACATTTCCTGTAGAGAGAGAGATAGATAGATAGAGAGAGAGAGAGAGAAGAGAGAGAA